AATTAAATTACACAGGTAGTTTTCTAGTTAGAGGCTTTGTTTAGTAAAGGATAAACAAATGTTTACAATTAAACGAGTAACGAAGTAATAAAAATAAAGATAAAGTCCCAGTTAGCAACTTTGCAATATGTGACAACACTGTATTGAGAGAGAGAGAGAGAGAGAGAGAGAGAGAGAGAGAGAGAGAGAGAGAGAGAGAGAGAGAGAGAGAGAGAGAGAGAGAGAGAGAGAGAGAGAGAGAGAGAGAGAGAGAGAGAGAGAGGGGGAGAGAGAGAGAGAATGAAATAACTCTCCGGAAGCTAAAATTTTCAGTATCATGGCGGAGCTCTTGACCTGAAGAGGCGACGCCGGAGGTATGTCGAAACGTCCCGGGACTCGCCTTAAGTTTGCGGCCATCGTAGCGTGTATAACGAGGCCTCGGAACACCACACTGAATCTGATTCAGTCTCTCTTCCTCAATCTCTGCCTCCCACACTCCTTCCTACCCCTCACTGCTCCCTATTCCCACCCATCGGTCACCCCTCTCTCTCTCTCTCTCTCTCTCTCTCTCTCTCTCTCTCTCTCTCTCTCTCTCTCTCTCTCTCTCTCTCTCTCTCACTCTCTATCTATCTCTCTCTCTCTATATCACTTTTAGGAAGGCATAAAAGCCTTACACCACCAGTTCATTAGTAAGACGTAATTGCTTTCCTTTCTCGTTCTAAATATAACCCTTTCACTTAACCTGTCAAAATATGCTCAAAAGATGCTGCAGGAAATCTTGTGTCGGCTCCCTTCGGATTTTTTGTGTGTTCCACATCGTTCCTCAAACACTGTTTTCAATGGAGTATAATATGTATCAAAGATTCACCAAGAATCAATTCACTATATTGAATCGAATTAAAGCCATTATAGTTGCTTTACAAGAATGTTAAAACATCAATGTTATATACTCTCATAAACCCAATATACCTTCTTGTTTATATATGCACATAAATAAATAAATAAATAAATAAATAAATAAATCAATCAATATTACACATGAAAAATTGAAGCAAATAAGAATGTTTTACTGCGACTGTTCCTTGAAATTAACAATTAAGTGGCGGAGCCAATTATGATCTTCCTCGACACATTATTGGAAATCACCTTTTAGGTTTCATGCAGATAATATTATGTTCTCTATTTACTATAATACTTTTGATTTTGCCTGAGAATAAATCCAAATATTTTATAGGGGAAGTTTTCCTCTAGAGTGCTGTTGAAGATATCGTGGTGATATTGGAGCTCATTAGTTAAAAATTAGAGAAACTAATGGTCTTTCAAGAGGAAATGTATATCATTAAGTTATCAGAAAATGAGATATCATATCTATTTTGATGAAAAAATATAGAGATCTCCTGGGGTCGATGAAGAACAGATATTTAATGTTTGATAATTATCAGTATTAATCATTGAGCCAAATTGGTATTCTCATTAAGGAAATAATAGAGATTTGTTTAACAATTTATTAACTTTATTCATTCATTCATTTAGTAATATAAGATATAAGGGTCATTTTTACCAAGATATTTTGGGAAACAGTCGAAGGGTATGCTCATAGGAGTACGGGTCAAGTGATGGGACAGGACCTACGCATACTAACGAAGCCAATGTTACGCAAAGCGTTTCGGCCATTAAGTGATGACATTCAAATAGTCATCACATGGAACCTATTTCAAATGGCACTACCAGACTTGACACTCTCCATAGTTCTAACAGGGAAAATCTACAATTAACTAAGCACGAATATATCGAGAAGCTGTTAACACAATGTGATATATTTATATATATGTTAATAAAATAGAGCCTCTCTTGAGTAAATAGAACGACAAGTGAAATTAAGGATGAGAAAGAAACATGTTAACTTGAATATAATGCCAAGGAAATTATATTCAAGTTATAAGAATATAATGTCAAGGATATTATATTCTTATGTCCTTGATTTCTTTTATCTCTCTAAAACACAACACAAACATTTCTTTTCCTCGTCCCAGACGTGTTCTGTCACTGTTGCAGGTGGCCAGAGAAAAAAATTCAATTATCTGACTAATTAAGAATTGATGCTCAACCCCGAATGAGATTATTTCTTTGAAGAACGAGGTGCTCTTAATCAGTCCAATGAAAAGATTAATTAATCTTAGGAAAGGTTTAAATAATTACTCATATAGTAGAGGTAATTAGACAAATATTCGTACTTTTTCATGGAGGATAAAATAAGTTACAGATTCCAGTGTCTAATTAAGCGGTTGCATCAGTTGAAAAAATCCTATGAATATTAATAATGTTGAAAAGTTACAATATATTATATTTTTGTTATAAAAAAAGTTGTTAATACCATTAAAAATCTGGTGTTCTGCCTTCTCTTGCATAATGTTATAATCAACCGATGGAATGGTTGCTGCTTGGATATTATCAATACAAAATTGTGCTTCACACAGTTCACCATAGCCCTTCTCATCCTCCATGGCCATTCTCATCCTCCATAGCCCTTCTCATTCCCATAGACCTTCTTCTGTTACAAGTATTACTAGTATTAGTACCTCGTGACGTCATAGTGATATAAATTGATAAAAGTGTACCGTCTTACTATCATTTAATCACTGTGTTCTCTACTTTTTCCAACCTTTCATATTTCTTGGGTCTTGCATTTCTGAAAGGGAAAACTTTTCTGTTGTTCCGCAGATTTTCTGGCTGCAGTTTTCAACCTGATCTAGAGGTACAGTTCACTGAGGTTATTCTGCCATTGCAATGTCTGGTCGTTCATCTCTGTATTGTATTCTACCAGCCTCGAGGTCTTCAAACCGGTCGAACATCATACTATATTACCCAAACATCCATAATGTAATCAAACATCATGACATCATGCTCTATTAACCCCCTCCACAAGGTGGTCGAACATCATATTCTATTACCCTAACACCCACAAGATAACCCAATATCATATTGCGAAAGCCTCACATCCAAATAATAGCCAAGTGTTGCATAGACAGTAGTCACGTGTTCCAAAGAAACGTTAATAGTTCATCGTTTCAAGGCGCGCTTCGTTAAAGAAAATCTCCAATAATTGTTTACTGATAGTGACTGGGCAGTAAATAGTTATAGCAGAGATAATACATAAGCTACAAGAACATGGAGCCACATCACGTGAAGCAAACTGAATCGTTACGAGCTCTGCGATATTCCCGAACTGTGACGGGAACAGACATCGCTACCTTAATCTATATCTGGATTAAGTTTTGAAATATTATTCACATTCAAGAAAATAATGAAGAATTGCTCCACTGCCTTAATCACATATGTATATTATTTGAATAGACATAAAAATACATTCATGACATTATTCAATAAATTCTTAGGGCTAGTTTGAAGAAAATTTAACTGTTGATGACTGTAATATTTTGCCACTCTTCGACCTAACTGGGAGGGTCCAGTAATTAGTTTTAAATCAAGAAAAAGCAACAGACAAATAGAAATTTTAACAAATAAAAATAATTATTAAAATTCCTGAGATTTTTCTTTAAAAAGTAACCATCTTTTATTTCGTTGAAAACATTAGAAGCACTTCACAAATCATTTACTAACAAAAAATTAAGCGAATATTTAATAAAATATAGTTGTAGTTAGTATTAAATCTGTTTTATAAAATTAATGTCACCTATTTCAGCATTAAAAGAGTGGCAAAAATTCGTAATTTCCTATAAATCAAAAATTAAGAATCTTCAGATTACGTAAAAATTCCACCCATTTTAAATTGACACAGCAAAATTTTCATCAAATCTCCCACCGATTGCTACTGAATATAGAATGAATAAAGACTGGAAGAATGGAATCAACAAGTGATCAGGCAGGGAGACCTCCGGGCTGGAGGCGTGTGAGAAAGAGATCCTTAAGGATTACTGAAGGACCATGCAGCGTGGCTCCGTCTGCACCAACAGTCGACAGCCGACACACACACACACGCAGCTTATCCCTGGCCGCTGCCTAACTCAACCTGTACTCTGGTACGTGTCTTCCCTAGAGTACTTTGTCAGGATGATACACTCTGTGTGTGTGTGTGTGTGTGTGTGTGTGTGTGTGTGTGTGTGTGTGTGTGTGTGTGTGTGTGTGTGTGTGTGTGTGTGTGTGTGTGTGTGTGTGTGTTTGTTGTCTTGAGTCTGGACGATAACTGGTCAGTGTGTGCTGTGTTGTCTGGTGTCAGGACGATAACTTGACTGTGTGTGTGTGTTATCTTGTCATATGTCAAGATGATAAGTTGTCTGTGTATGTTACCTTGTCATGTGTAAAGACGACAACGTGTCTGTTTATTGTCTTCTCTCGAATAAATGTGTCAAAAAGATAACTTGTCTCTGTGCGTTATCTTGTCTCGTATACTATAAAAACATGATAACTTCCTGTTACTTGTAGATCACAATAAACGAACGAACCTGAATATAACTCATAAAATTTACTGTGTTTCGCATCATGGGCGACCTAGTTAATACTGTTTTGGAAACTGGATTGTTGATTTAGGGAACAAATTGAAAGTTAATGTAACGAAAGATGTGTTAACGCTGAAATAATTCAAGCTTAGGATATGTATCCCTTAACATATGCAAATATGAATATATTAGATATACCTATATGGTAAAAAAAATTAAATTAGATCCATCAAGCATGAGCGTCCTCTGATAATATTCTTATGTTCTGGTCGAAGATTTTACCTCAACAAATATAGTAAAAATCCTTAACGATTGGAATATTATTTTGCAATAATTATTATCCGTAATTCATTGACATTTATTATTTATGTATCCGAAGATTTCAGGAGAGCAGGAGAACAATTTTAATCACATAAATTTGTTTAAATAGTAAGTAAAATCTTTGTTGTTAATTAAAAAAATACAAACATGCTTGATAAAGAATAATAATAATTAGTTTAATTTAAAAGATTTTATTGAAACATGTATTTTATTTTATTTTTATAGTGTTTTCTTTAATCTGACAGAACAATGAGTTCCAGACCTATCGACGGCAGAGTAGAGCCGAGGGTGTTGGGGGCGGCATCCATCAGAGAAATCCAAGAGTCTAGTGAGTACAGGAACTAAGGACATTGTTGCAGTATTGTGCCAATTGGCTCTCAGACCCTGGTCGATCCTGTTAACTTATGTTCCTGAAGGAGGTGGGAGAAGAACTCATCCAGCACACCAGCTGGATGAGTTCACTCCAAATCTATGTGGGTAAACTCATATTCACCCCATAAATGTGGGATGAATATGAGTTTATGTGAATATTAACCTATTCACCCCAAATATATGAATATCTGCTGGGGTAAAGTAAATATCACTATCTTGAACAACTGCGGTAAGTTGATATTAGGTTTTGGACAGTGAACAGTGTGAGAGCTGCAGTGTTACTCTATGTTCGTTATAGAATCTTTCAGAGATAATCTATCAGTAAAGATATTAAATAATCCACACCAACCTACATGGGGGCTTCATTTTAAAAAGGTAAAACAAAATTAAACAAAATTTCTAAACAATGAACATACCAAATATTTATAAAGGAAATTTTAAGTTAAAACCAACGTGGGAAACCCTTCATTGTACAACACAAGACTCTACAAAAGCCACACACGGCCCGGGTGTAGATACAGGGTACGTGTGAGAGGAGCATTTACATGCAAAAACCCCTAAGACTTAACCACAGACACTTTGCAACACCCTGACCAGACATCTTGCTGTCTCTTCAAGACAACGTTATTCCGCTCACCTGGAGCCGTAGTGAGGGAAGCTCGGTACTAACCATCTGGAGCACTGAAGATTTGGTCGTGGGCGAGTCCACAGGAGCTACGCAGACCAAGCTATGCAGATTTCAGTCTGTCTGGAATATATTTCAGCCAGCTGTTGAAGACGACTAGACTGAAGCAGCAAGATAATCAAGAGTTGGATTTTCAAGATTTTTTCTATTACAGGTTGACAGCTTCATACTTTGCCAACAACGTAGCGAAGCTATGACTGAATGGGCTATTAAACAAACCATTTTTTGATACAGAAAATGTATGAATCCACATATACGTACATAAAATCAAACATATTCTCAATACACAAACCCCAAGGGGTTCAGTAGCAGTAGTCCTGTGGTCTACGTTATCGCGTCACACGCGAGGGGACCCGAGTTAAATTTTCTGGCAAGACGAAAACGATTGAGCAGCGTTTCCTCTCGCCTGAGGCCTCTGTTGACCTAGAACGAAGCATGTTCCAGGGAATTAGATATATACTGTGAACTGTATCCTCTGGATGAGTGTGTGAGTGTGTGTGTGTGTGTGTGTGTTTGTGTGTGTGTGTGTGTGTGTGAGTGTGAGTGTGTACTCACCTAGTTGTGTCTGCGTGTGTGTTTGTGTGTGTGTGTGTGTGTGTGAGTGTGAGTGTGTACTCACCTAGTTGTGTCTGCAGGATCGAGCATTGACGTGTGTTATTGGGATATTGGTGTGTGTGTGTGTGTGTGTGTGTGTGTGTGTGTGTGTGTGTGTGTGTGTGTGTGTGTGTGTGTGTGTGTGTGTGTGTGTGTGTGTGTGTGATGTATAATAAATGTTACAAATAAAATAGGTTTTGAGTCATTACACAGGATAACTGACTGTTGGAAAGGCGAGCATTAGACGCCGTCAAGTCTGTCGTTCATGCACAAATGGATGAATAATATTTTGTGAATAAAATCATACATATAAACTCACACAAATACTATGGCTCAAGTTATTAAGTATAGCAAAAGAAAATCCAGCCGAGTTTTGCTGAATATATAATTATGCAAAGGAGGAGAATATTGAAGAATTTCTGAGAAGATAGACTGAAGTCAAAGTATATGCTCAGTAAAAGCAGTAAATAGAGAGAAAAACGAATGAAAAACTAAATTCCTGTAAACCAGCCAGCAATATATAGAGCCAGGAAAAAGTTATGAGAATGGGGACATTAAAATGCAAGTAAATAACACCATATGAGCTTCCACCCTAAACAGTATCTCACATTACATAGAAAACACTAACTCTTTTCCAGCGAAAGTACTCGTTACGGTGCACTGGAAATACTAATTGTCGTCACAGTAAAAAGAAAATTGTTCACGTCACACTAAGTTTCTAGTTTAATTTACAGTTAAAATTTTACCTGATGTCGCTAAAAATACTCAGAGCGTGCAAATATTAATTAACGTCAAACAAGATCGCGAAACAATTTAGTCTCAACATTTTCTCCACGTTATATAACGTTAATGTGATATCAATATGCACACCTGTTATGTCCATTTTTATTATGTAATCATCCCTTATCCTCTTCTTTATTCCTCCTCTTCTTTACTCCTCCTCTTTCCAGATAATGTAAATTAAGCTCTCTTAGTGAGTCTTCATAAAAAAGTTCCAAATATCCAGGAACAACTTTGTCATCTTTCTCTACATACCTTTATGAAAATTTGGGATATTGGTAAAAAATTATAACTGATTAGAGGTTTAATTATAAACGCAGAATTATTTATCGTTGTATTCCATGTTCATTATTTAGACCGTTTAAACAATGATTTCTTAATAAGAATTTTAACTAATCATGACTCCTTGATCATTTTTTAATCAGGTTTGGTATATTTAACGTTAGGCTAACGTCTTGTGGCATTACCCAAAATTTATGGAATTTAACCTTTACATTTAACAGCATTAATCAGAAACTGAAAATCATTCGTCACCTTCAAATGTCTATCTAAACGTCCTTCTCTGAATATATAATTTAAATCATACTGAAGTTACTACATCAAATTTGCTAATGTTGTTGTTAATAAATGGCTTTTATATATATATATATATATATATATATATATATATATATATATATATATATATATATATATATATATATATATATATATATATATATATATATATATATTAGTATATTTTGGTAGCAGTCTTTCCTGTAGACATATATTATTAAATATGACCGAAAAAGTAAGATTAATAATTCTAACACGAATTTTCTCAATCTTTCGTACATTAAGCTTCACTGTTGGAGGTAAATCAAAAATCACTTCTCCAAAATTCATTTTTATTTCTAGTCTGACGCGACACGGGCGCGTTTCGTAAAACTTATTACATTTTCCAAGACTTCACAAATACACAACTGATTAGAACTTGCGTTTCCCTCATTTTATATCTACATTTGAGTGAGGTGGGAAGGGTGATGTGGCATTACATTTGGGTGAGGTGGGAAGGATGATGTGGCATTAACACAAGACAGAACACTAGAGGATATTAATAGGGTATTAAAAGTATCAACACAAGACAGAACAGAAACAATGGGTATTGAATAGAAGTGTTTGTAGAAAGCCTATTGGTCCATATTTCTTGATGCTTCTATATTGGAGCGGAGTCTTGAGGTGGGTAGAATATAGTTGTGCAATAATTGGCTGTTTATTGCTGGTGTTGACTTCTTGATGTGTAGTGCCTCGCAAACGTCAAGCCGCCTGCTATCGCTGTATCTATCGATGATTTCTGTGTTGTTTACTAGGATTTCTCTGGCGATGGTTTGGTTATGGGAAGAGATTATATGTTCCTTAATGGAGCCCTGTTGTTTATGCATCGTTAAACGCCTAGAAAGAGATGTTGTTGTCTTGCCTATATACTGGGTTTTTTGGAGCTTACAGTCCCCAAGTGGGCATTTGAAGGCATAGACGACGTTAGTCTCTTTTAAAGCGTTCTGTTTCGTGTCTGGAGAGTTTCTCATGAGTAGGCTGGCCGTTTTTCTGGTTTTATAGTAAATCGTCAGTTGTATCCTCTGATTTTTGTCTGTAGGGATAACGTTTCTATTAACAATATCTTTCAGGACCCTTTCCTCTGTTTTATGAGCTGTGGAAAAGAAGTTCCTGTAAAATAGTCTAATAGGGGGTATAGGTGTTGTGTTAGTTGTCTCTTCGGAGGTTGCATGGCTTTTCACTTTCCTTCTTATGATGTCTTCGATGAAACCATTGGAGAAGCCGTTATTGACTAGGACCTGCCTTACCCTACAGAGTTCTTCGTCGACTTGCTTCCATTCTGAGCTGTGGCTGAGAGCACGGTCAACGTATGCGTTAACAACACTCCTCTTGTACCTGTCAGGGCAGTCGCTGTTGGCATTTAGGCACATTCCTATGCCTATGAAACAAACATAGGAATGTGCCTAAATGCCAACAGCGACTGCCCTGACAGGTACAAGAGGAGTGTTGTTAACGCATACGTCGACCGTGCTCTCAGCCACAGCTCAGAATGGAAGCAAGTCGACGAAGAACTCTGTAGGGTAAGGCAGGTCCTAGTCAATAACGGCTTCTCCAATGGTTTCATCGAAGACATCATAAGAAGGAAAGTGAAAAGCCATGCAACCTCCGAAGAGACAACTAACACAACACCTATACCCCCTATTAGACTATTTTACAGGAACTTCTTTTCCACAGCTCATAAAACAGAGGAAAGGGTCCTGAAAGATATTGTTAATAGAAACGTTATCCCTACAGACAAAAATCAGAGGATACAACTGACGATTTACTATAAAACCAGAAAAACGGCCAGCCTACTCATGAGAAACTCTCCAGACACGAAACAGAACGCTTTAAAAGAGACTAACGTCGTCTATGCCTTCAAATGCCCACTTGGGGACTGTAAGCTCCAAAAAACCCAGTATATAGGCAAGACAACAACATCTCTTTCTAGGCGTTTAACGATGCATAAACAACAGGGCTCCATTAAGGAACATATAATCTCTTCCCATAACCAAACCATCGCCAGAGAAATCCTAGTAAACAACACAGAAATCATCGATAGATACAGCGATAGCAGGCGGCTTGACGTTTGCGAGGCACTACACATCAAGAAGTCAACACCAGCAATCAACAGCCAATTATTGCACAACTATATTCTACCCACCTCAAGACTCCGCTCCAATATAGAAGCATCAAGAAATATGGACCAATAGGCTTTCTACAAACACTTCTATTCAATACCCATTGTTTCTGTTCTGTCTTGTGTTGATACTTTTAATACCCTATTAATATCCTCTAGTGTTCTGTCTTGTGTTAATGCCACATCATCCTTCCCACCTCACTCAAATGTAGATATAAAATGAGGGAAACGCAAGTTCTAATCAGTTGTGTATTTGTGAAGTCTTTGAAAATGTAATAAGTTTTACGAAACGCGCCCGTGTCGCGTCAGACTAGAAATAAAAATGAATTTTGGAGAAGTGATTTTTGATTTACCTCCAACAGTGAAGCGTAATGTACGAAAGATTGAGAAAATTCGTGTTAGAATTATTAATCTTACTTTTTCGGTCATATTTAATAATATATATATATATATATATATATATATATATATATATATATATATATATATATATATATATATATATATATATATATATCGTTTATATATATATATATATCGTTTATATATACTAAAAATACCTGAGTTCTCAGGACAATTGCTAGCGAAGCTACACGTGTAACAGTTCCCTGACCAGACGTTATTTACTTTGAAACTTAATGCTGTTGAGAAACCTCCTCCATGTGTCCTAAAAATAAAATATAAACAAAAAACATTTCCTGGCTGACTTATGATCTTGACTCTGGTAATGTTTTGCTAAGGACTCGGTCATCCTCGTCTTATATTATCAGGTTGTAATGTTCTCAGATGTTCAATATCTTGTGCTTGTGATAGGCCTTGCTGTTGCAGAGATTGACTTCACTATAAACTGCACATACAGTGCTCTCCATATGTTGCAGGAAGACTGATGTGTGATCATGGTTTCTCTCGTCATATAGGGGTCAAACTTTCTCTTTTAATGTTAAAGAAGACTTCCTCTGTTATTGTTGAGTCAGACTTTCTAATTTATAATAAAGAAGCAGATCATCTTTAAGCTTATAATTTTCAAGCAGATAATTTTTATGCAGGTCGTCTGAAAACAGATCATTTTTTTGCAGATCATCTGATTATTGTTTCAGATGTGTCATCACTGAACCAGATGATTCAATCGGCTGACTGGAATGTTTCGAGGCTTGTGAAATGCTCATTGACAGGTTTTGGTAATCAGAATAAAAGAGCCGAGCTGGAAAATTTATGGAATATATTACGAACCAGGCGGGCTTAAAGTAGTGATATTTTGATAGTTTATGATACTCTCTAGTTGTGAAGGATTTAGCAGCTGTTAAATTTTGTTGTCAAATCAAAGCTTGTAACGTTGCAGTAATTTTGATATATGTAGAGAAGTGAATAATTTCCTAAATAACCTGTTAGGGCAGAGAATTAGAGATCGTTGTCAACACCTCACTGCTTGTTCTTCCCACGTGAGCAAACATGAGAAGAGGAGAGAGGAAAGAGGAGAGAGAGGAGAGAGGAGAGTGGAGAGAGAGAGAGAGAGGGGAGGAGAGAGAGAGAGAGAGAGGGGGGGGGTGCGGAATGGTATTTGCTGCTAATGACCTTGTAAACTCTATAATATTTCCCACCTTGTTTAACGTATCAAGGCGTGCTTCAGATGCCATTACTAAAGTGCACATTAGTAACCTGATGTGTTTTCTCCTCTGGGAATAGTAATTTAGGATTTAATAAAAGTTAGATGTAAATGGAAGTTTTGTTAGTGTTCATTGTTACTATTGGTACTTCGGATTTGTTATTAAAACGCTTGTCATATTTAACAAAACAAAACAATATTTGGCCACATATTCATGCTTTCTTTTCCTTTTTTTGTTATTAACTGGGGGACTCAATATACATGCTTCACAATATACATGCTTCCTAAATACATGCTTCACAATATACATGCTTCACAATATACATGCTTCACAATATTCATGCTTCACAATATACATGCTTCACAATATACATGCTTCCTAAATACATGCTTCACAATATACATGCTTCACAATATACATGCTTCACAATATTCATGCTTCACAATATACATGCTTCACAATATACATGCTTCACAATATACATGCTTCACAATATACATGCTTCACAATATACATGCTTCACAATATACATGCTTCACAATATTCATGCTTCACAATATACATGCTTCACAATATACATGCTTCACAATATACATGCTTCACAATATACATGCTTCAATGCACTCTGTACTGTTGTATCATTAATATCCCCCATACCCTGTCTCTGAAAAACTACCAGGTGGAAAAAAATCAATGAGTTACTCACTGCAGTAAGCAACTGAGAATCGTCCATTAAAAAGTAAGTCAAATATTAGCGTCAGTCTCTTATAACAAGTTGTGCAAAAAAAAACGTGGTTGTGTTCTTGTAATATTTTCCTGATGTGACTCTGAGCTATATATAGATCTGCCTCTCCGGGTGTTATTGTGTGTTAAATTATTTATGGGAGTAATTGTGTTCTCACTGGTAATAACTCTGATTCCACCATCAGTATTTCCTATTTCTTCTTCGTTAGTGTTTTAATTTTGAGACTTTCAGATGAGCTATTGTTTACATTTCTACGGCACTGTTTTTTTCGACAATTTTTGATAAACGTTGGTCTTATTGTAACAGGACGCAAATCTGAATCTGAAATGGTAACATTTCATGTGTGAATATATTTATAATTCCTCTCATTCGCTCGTCTGGAAAGATGATATGCAACTCAATGTCAAGACTGACACATGTAGCCGACCCAAGCTGCTCTTCCTGGGAGATGGGGGAGATGATAATTGGTTGAGAGACGCACGTAAGAGCATATTTTTTACTCAAACTGGAGCTGGGAGTTTACAGTGAAAACACAAGTAAAAAAGTTCTTCTTCTTCTTTTTGTTATTCTTCTTCATCTCAAGATGGAGATGGAAGCTTGTGGGTAAACATAAGCAGATACCTCTTTACAGGTGCAGGAGATGTGTGGCATGTGGGAGGAAGCAAGCAGGACGTAAGAGTGGACTTCCTTTTTCAGGCAGGAATGAGGGAGACAAGAAACATACTGAGAAAGATTTCTTACTAATCGAGCAGGAGTGAGACATTAAGAGACGCACATAAGGCCTCCAACTCTACCAGGAATGTGGGAGATCAGGTATTAAATAAAGATTCAAATTTGATATTTTTACTGAATTCTACTTTTGTTTAAATTTATCATTATTCCATGTAACAGACAAGAGAGCAAGAAGTATAAATATATAGTTGACATATAGAGAGAATGTATATGAATATATGAACACACACATAAACATAGGAAAAAGACAGATAAACAGGTAAGGAAGCAATTGGAGAAAAGTTAAGGGTGATAGAGCTAAAACGCCGCAACTACACAGTCGCAGACAGACAATCAAAGGGAAAATTAAATTACATATAGAGAAAAAACACAAAGAAACCTAGAGAGAATAACATAAGTAAAATAGTGTAACAAAAAGTAACAAAGAATAACTTAGACAAACACAGCGACATAAAGAAACGTGGAGTAACACAAAAACAGAGACAGAGTAACGCAGAAAGATCTAATAAAAAGAAAACGAGCAACACAGACAGACATAAACAAAGCCTGAGTGAGAGAGACAGACGGGGCCAAAAAAAAGAGTAACAAAGAAATCTTCAGAAACCCAGAGATAAACAAAACCGGAGAGATTTAACCCCAAAGATAGAAATAAAAACACTAGCAGTATAAGTGATACATATTATCCACTATATATTGCCTTGTTAATTGTTCGTGTATATATCAGGAACTGGAGCTCAGTATATTAGATGTTTATTGAATATTTTTCATTAATAAGAGGTGAAATGTGAAGCAAAACACAAACATGATTCTCCTCTTCTTTCTCCTTCTCTTCTTCTTCTTCTCTTACTCTTACCATATTTACACCCCGTCATCTTCCATGTTTCCTTGCCTTAAAGTCCTCTTCTGCCTCACCACCTCCCTCTTCCCCCTTCACCATCCCTGCCAGTCTCAACACCTCCCTCACCTATATATAAACTCCCCCTAAACTATAACCAAGACATGATTAGTACTGCCTTTATATAAAGTGTCGCCTGGCTTCCTATACTTCGCTGGATCATACTTCAAATGTACGTTATATTAATTCCAATTATTATTATTATTATTATTATTATTATTATTATTATTATTATTATTATTATTATTATTATTATTATTATTATTGTTAAATGTAAGGAAATCACTAACGTGATTTATCAATGAAATAATTGCAGTAATGCTGGAGAATTGAACCACGGACTTGGTATAGTTAATGGCGTTCTCCATCACGTTCCAGCATCAAACACACAAGGAAATCACTCTGACGTGATATATGAACGAGAATTTCGTGGTCCAGAGGTAAAGTGCGCTGTGTGGGAGTACTAGAGGCTAGGGTCTGAGTCCTCCGTGATGGTTCAAATGATTTTCTCATCTCTAGTATAATTTTTACACTGTAGGAAAGTCCATGTGTGACAGTAGAGACTAAGTGCAATGTAATTGTCAGCTCTGCTCCTCACCCTTAAGCCCTTTCATCACTTTCATTGTCCATAATGATTTGTATTCCTCGAAACCACTTCTTCAATGACACCCTAATTGCTATCAACCCTCTTCTTCGTCTTATTCTATGTAATCTCGTCTTGCCCCCTTCAACCTCTTCTAGTACACGAAAATAGTCTATGGCAGGAGTTTCAGTCTGCTTCCCCCTCTCGCTTCCTTCCTTACCTAGTGCACATCACTTTCTCATTCTCCCTATTAACAAAGTCTGTTTCTCTTTCTCTCGATCATCTCCTAATCTACCTCTCTTCCTCTCCCTTATATACTAAAGGAGATGGAATTTCCAACAGGCGCCGGGAGAATTAGTTAAATATTTAAGGATGGTGATGTAATTATCAGGAGAGAGCATTAATTATTAGGAGAAAGCACTATGTTTTATGTTCTTATGTTCTTATGTTTAGATTTAGGAAAGACTTGGGTAAATACTGGTTCAGTAACAAGGTTGGACATGTATATGAGTGGGATTGGGTGGTTATAAATAGGAGCTGCCTCGTATGGGCCAATAGGCCTTCTGCAATTGCCTTTGTTCTTAGGTTCTTATGTTCACTAATTATAAAGAGAAAGCAATACGAGTATACAGCGCTTCAGTGGTATGTAAGGACGGAATGACATATCGGTTTACTATTCAGTATTTTCCACCAGCGCACCCTGGGTTTGACAGAAATAGGGTTGGACGTACCGCTGTAATTTACCATCATGGAGTAAGTATTGAAGAACTCATAACTGAGAGAATGCTGCTTAAATTATGTAGCCAAGAGAAGACATTCTCACACAACTACACACACACACACACACACACATACACACATACCCCTGCCGGGGTTTGATCCCAGTGAGTAGCATAAACAAATGGGCAGACTTTCTTTTACCCTGGAGCATCTGTTCACCTAGCAGTAAATAGGTACCTGAGAGTTAGACAGCTGCTTTGGGCTGCTTCCTCGGGAGTGTGTGTGTGTGTGTGTGTGTGTGTGTGTGTGTGTGTGTGTGTGTGTGTGTGTGTGTGTGTGTGTGTGTGTGTGTGTGTGTGTGTGTGTGTGTGCGTGTGTGCAAGCGTGTATTAAAGAGAAATATATGTAGCAGATATGAAAGAGGAAAAATAGATTGGTTAGAAAGGCGGGGTCCAAGAGCTAAATAGCTCGATTCTGCAGACGCAAATAGTAAATACAAATAGTAAATACACACACACACCACAGTATAAGGTGGAAGAGGAGCAGTGAATAACAATAAAAAAAAGGAAAAGAAAAAGTGACAATTAGAGTGACAGAAGTTTTGAGTGATGGGGAGAATACCTGCGAGGGAAGATAATGTTATCCACTTGCCTCTTCCTTTTTCTTCTCCTTCATCTCTTCCCTTTTCTATCTTTAACATTATTACACTTCGTCTTCTTCCTCTGAGTAATTTTCATCTTTTGTAATCCATTTTTTCTTTCTGTTCATCATTATTTGCCTGTTTCTTCTACTCTCTCTCTCTCTCTCTCTCTCTCTCTCTCTCTCTCTCTCTCTCTCTCTCTCTCTCTCTCTCTCTCTCTCTCTCTCTCTCTCTCTCTCTCTCTCTCTCTCTCTCTCTCTCTCTCTCTCTCTCTCTCTCTCTCTCTCTCCTGTTCGCAAGCACTTCTCTTCTCATTTCAGTTTTTCTTTCATATATCCCAGCTCTTTCTTCTATCTAATTATTCTTATCTTTCCTGCTTCTTCCTTCTCTGTTACATATTTAATGCCCTTCTGATTTTTCTCTTCAGCCATAGTCTGTTATCTCCACCGACCGATCCTACATTTTTGCATTATCGTCATGCCCCCTATTCCTCATTCCTCCTTCTCTACCATTTTACTATTATATCCCAAGTACCATCTGGCTCTTCAGTACCCTCTGGCTCTTTTGGCTCTTCAGTACTCTATGGCTCTTTTGGCTCTTCAGTACCCTATGGCTCTTTACTGTCTGCCGGCTTCTCTTCATTATATCAAACAAGCCACAGCCCATCTCCTGACCATGTTCTACTGCTCCCTCGCTCCCACCTGACTTCTCTTCCACTTCCATATGCAACCTTTACAGGGACTCAATCTTCTTTTCTACACTTTCAGTGCCTTCCACCAAGAACTTTAAACACCTGCTAAACCCGTTTATCCATGCACAAAGTTATCACTTGCTCCACTAAGAAAACTTGTACTATCTTTTAACCCACTATGCCACCAATTTTAAGAAAGTTTTCCTTATTGCTTGACTCCCATTCATCACTTATCCTCAGCCACTATTCTTCACCGTTATATATACATCATCTGTTTCTATTACACCCATTCTTTACAAGTTTCTTTTCCCCTTCAGTTGTTCCACATCCTCTTTTCTTCTTCTCCCTCTTCTCTTTCAAAGAATTAACCACCCAGCAAAAACCCCTTTCCAATAAATGCCACCATCTGTATCTATTTCCTCCTCTCTCCAACTCCTATCCAACCAAGCCGCCCGTCCCTCCTAGCCACCTCTCCCCCCACGCTACCCTTTCCCCTAGGCATCTCTCCTGCTAGCCATCCCATCTCTAAACCACCCATCCCCTTCTCCCCTACCTTCTCTTCCGTGATCTCCCCTTCCCACTAAGTGAGCTCCCTTCCCTCTACCATCTCCCCGAGGGAGGTCCTCCTCTTGAACCTCCAGAGCTCGACTTTACAGAGAAAACGAAAATCAATAAGAAACAAAGGAATGCAGATAAAGACGTTTGTTTTAAACGGAGGAAACTGTGAAAAATATATGAATGTCTTAGGGAAGTGAAACTGGAGGGTGGTGTATGCAGCAAGGAATGATACGATATACAACCCAAAGAGGTGGAAAAATACACCATTATGACGGTCCGAGTGGACTTATTTGTATGTATTCTATAAATTGGTGAATAAATATTTTCAAGGTCACTTATAGAGAATATGTGTACATAAACGAAACACATGCAGCCCCATTTCAATTGTCTTGCACACGAGGTAGTCCTCGAATATATGTGGAGTCTACGGTTGATGCTAGATGGTATGGAAGGAGACAATTTTGGGTGGAGTCGAGGGTGAATAGCCAATAGTGGGTGGAGGAGCCCAGAGGTGTAGAGGGGACGAGAGTGAGTGGAGGAGCCGAGTGTGGGTGGAGGTAACGAGGCTGATGCAGGAGACATAGGTGGGTGGTGGAGCTGAGAGGTGGAACAACAAAGTCGAACTAGCGACTGTGTCTGGTGACTATTCCACCACCTCCGAAGGGAGTCAAGATACGTCCTTCCACAGAAACAACTAAGAACGTTTATCAAACAATTAACAAAGCAAACTAAAAAAAACAGTCACATAACGTACACATTACTTTTGCACTGTATTTAAGAGTTTTAAGAGTAATACAAAATTATCATATTAACCTTAGTTGAGGTAAATTGTATCGGTTCTAGACCTGAGATGGAGTTACGCCCCTTCCAACTCTGAAGGAAGATACCCTCAACTCAATATCAAAGTTGCAGTTTTTTCGCAAGTCTGACCTTGATTAACATGTAATCTAAGCCATCTGCAATGTACCTTACTCTGACAGTCATTGCTTAACTCCATTCACTTTACCAGATCCTCTTAAAGTGTGCCATCAA